CTTGATGAGCGGTGTGTAAGTCCATGGCCAGGATCCAAACCCATGAATCCTGGGTGGCCAAAGCGGAGCGCGTGAACTTAACCACTGGGCCGGCCCTGAATTTTTTTTTCTTAAGGGGAATTTTATGGTTCTTCAGAATTGATGCTTGTTAATCCCATTGGCATAGTATCTTCTTATGATTGAAAATGTGATATTATTGTGCTGTCAAGGACTCCAGAGTCTTTTCTGTCTCATCTTTATCCTCTGCCACCCTATGTTTTTCTTTCAGTTTCCAAAAGTGATATACAGGGTGATATCTCCAAAAGCCAGCCCATGTGTGACGTCTGTCCATTTTGTTTCCCTTGCCTCTCCTTTTGTTTACTCTTCCTGTCCCCAAAGGAAATTTAGTAATTCTTTGTTTTGTTTTTCCCAATCCTTTAGATAGAATCATGGGGAGATGAATGGCAGCTAAGGGAAAAAGGCCCTGCTGCAAAGATTTTTATCACGTCACGGATACATAGAACTTGCCCTAAAATTTTTATCATGCTATTGATGGTTAGGGTTGATGTGACTGATTCAGCTGCTGGGTTGGCATTCTCTTTCTTCATAGTTTTGCTCCAAGGTATGTAAGCACTTGCACTCTGGCCAGAGCTTCCACGTCACAGAATAGAGCCCCTATTTCATGCCAAGAATATGTTTATTTTAGAATTTGTCTAACTCTTATTCTGTGGACCTCAGTTCCTTTTTATGTCTTTTGCTTATTAATTTTTATGTTGTTTTCATGTTTCTAAGCTGTTTTGTTTATTTGGGGGAGAACATCTTGCTTTAATAGAAGTTCTTTAGCCAGTTACTTAGGTTAAAGAGTTATTTGAACTTTGATTTAAAAACCTGAAAATTTGGCGTGGTCAGTGTTTCACCCTCCGATAATCTGAATCATGCCTGAAAATGAGGTTCTTTTTGGTTCTTTTGAGTAATTTATATAATAATATTTTTCAATAGAGCGTTTGCCATGTTGCGGTAAACATCCGTAAGAATAGTTATTTCTCTTAGTGATAGAGAAACAGTAGGCAGTGTTGTTTTCCCTACTAATGCTATTATTAGGTAAAAAAAAGTCATAAAAATACTTTGTATCTTCCTTGTAGTCACAGGTCTTATGCTGGTTTCTCTGGGCTTTTGTTACAGACTTTTAACTTTGTTATTTCTACATGGAGACATTATTCTTGAGCTAAAGGAAGATTTTATAGAGCTAGTCATTACTGCTTTTATTCAGTTGGAATCAGTAGTATGGCTTATTAACATCTCCAAACGCCTCAGGTAAAAAGTGTTGCAGTTGTTGCTTTTTCTCAGCTCTGAATCTTAAGAAACATGAAATTAAATGGCTAAAGTAGGTTCAGCCTTGAGATTTATCATTCATATAAAATTAGAATGTCAGTGTCAGATACCTCCTAAGCATTTAAACATGCTTGAAGGGGCCTTTTGGTTTTCGGATGCTCACTCCAGCTCTGGATGTGGACTGTGTTACGCTGTTCATTCCCGGGATGGATTGGTCTGAGATGTGACTTCAAAAGACTTAAAAAATGTAACCACGAGGTGTTGCTTAGAGATACAACCCTGTGTTTGGGAGATTGAGAACTAGGCCACACATATCATTTTGGGATATGCCTAAGGCTTTTGTAAAAACTATATTCTATATTTAACAGCCTTTGATAGGAAGTGGTTCTGTTGCATACCATCTTCCTGTTGCCTCCTGAGAAGTCTATTGTGGCTTATATATTTAGGATTTCTTTATTGTGGTAGAGAGTAGGGAATTTACTTGTATATTCTAATTATAATAGGAAATTCATACTACCTGAGTGAATTTTAACTGTAATAGAGGGTCCCAGGAGTCCTCTGGCCAGAGAGAAGGGACCTGGAGCCTAGCTGTTTCCACTGTTGTTGCTCCTGAGATATACAGTGGCATTTTTTTGAGACCAATTTTATTGCAATTGGTGTGAGATTCACGATACCATGCATTTTGGGAAATTCAGTATTGGGCAAACTGGTGATTTTTTTTTTTTTCTTGATGAGGCAGATTTGGCAGATTTGTTATAATTTCTAGTTTTTCATGAGGATTTTGGTCTCTTGGTAGCAGTGCTTAACATGCTGCTCTGTTGCTAAGATCCATAATTATCCAGTTTCTAGTAGTAAATGTTAAATTGTTTGAACATCACAGAATCAATTGTTTTCCATTTTTGTTTTCCATATGCTTTTGCTTTGGAATAAGTTTCAAAATCTAATGTTGCCAGAGTATCTTTGGAAATAGCTCTTTAGCTATTTATAAGTGAATAATTGAGGCCTGAAAACTGTCAAAGATTATTCATTTATTCTCTTCTTATTACTCTGGAGGTGATCTTTTTACATTATATTTTCAGAAACATTATCTGCTTCTTTGATGGGGGTAATAGTCTATGAAGTTAGTCTTTCAGCTGTCGCAGGAAGGTTGTAAAATGTAGCAGAGGCGGCATGAGGCAAGTGAAGAGTTCTGCTTAGAGCTTTTTGATATTGGACAAGTTATTTTCTCTTAGTCTTACTTTCTTCATTTGCATAGTAAACACAGTGTATCCCTACATTTATTATAAGTGTTAGAGTAGATGAAACAATGAACTGGAAAGTTCTTTGTACAGTGAAATTTTATACAGCTGTTATTTTATTGCTAAGTTGGCAAATTACAGTGCCAAATGATGACATGCGTTTCCTTGGCACAGTAGCTGCTGACTGTCCCATGCACTGCTAATGCTCATGCCAAGTCATCCCCAGTGTTATCTTGCCATTCTTTACAGCTCTGCTATTTCAGATCTCTGATGGAGCAGTCTGAAGAGCTTGATGATTTCTCAGTAAAAATACCAGGATGTTTGAGGTAGAAAGCCTGAGAGCCGTTGTTCCTAGTATACCTAGGGATTTCACATTAGTGGAGAGTATAGCCCATAAGAGTTCTCAGCAGTCTCTCTAACTGCTTGAGCGAGAATAGAGTAAATCTTTTAATTTCTGCTAAGATAGTAAGTAGTTTTTTACTAGAAGTACAGGAGGGTGAAAGGATTGGTCCTTGTCCACATCCAATCACAGTTTAAAATTAAGAGGCCTCAAGAGTCTCTCTCACTTACAGCATCTGTAGGACTTATCTGTTTATCTTTCTACTCTGCTTTTAATATTTTTGCAGAATTATCTCATTTGTGCCTTTTCTCACATGCAAATCGTAATGCTGGGATAGACTTCCCAGGCTTAGTAGTTAAGGTTGAAGAGATACTAAATACCAGGGTTGTGATATCTTTCATAGCTGGTTCTTGTAGCCCTGAAACCATTTTTCTGAAATGTGAAGGTTTTTTTTGAGAAATGCAACCTGAGGAGGCAAGTGGGGAAAGTCATTACAATGTACTTATATTGCTTAAGTTTTCTTACAGGAGGAAGTGCAAATCTGTGGCTCCTGTTTTTTTTTTTCTTTTATTGAAATATGGTTAGACAGTATAAAAGCATCATTTTTGGTTATACTCCAGATGGCTTTTGTTTTCAATTAAAATTGTGGCGTACAACAGCCATTCTTAAAAACTATTAATTTATCTTAATTAAAAAATAAAGCTTTGCTTTGTGAATTAGACCTGTGAGATTTTGCAAGCAACTTGTTCAGTGAAATTATTAACTCATAGTTCTTGAAATTTTTTTTCTTTTTGGTGATACGATTTTGACTTGGATGATCTAGGGAAGAGTCAGACTGTTTGAAATCACTTCTACTTTTTATTTTCTTTGGGACAATGGGTTATAAGAAAATGTATTCAATACCTTAGATTTTAATCTTTCTGGATCTAACCTTTCTATATCTCTTCATTTAGAGTTTAACTTCAGAAGACTGTAATCCTGTCTTTAGGAGTGCTAAAACAAAGATAGGTTTATTTTACAAATGAGGAAGAAAATAACTTATAGTAAGATTTATAGTCAACCTGAAAAGTTGTGGTTAAGATTAACATGGTCAGAAATGAAAGTAATATGGAATATTTTTGGGGAGTGGAGCGTGATGATTTAGAACTCAGATTAAACTAATTCTTAGCAAATATATTTAAGATCTATTTTACTAGGAAGTGAGATGTGAAGGGGCTATTTGAAAGCTTTGAGAACAATTTAAAGCTCTTTAAAATCAAGTACTAGAATGGTTTAGAATAGTTTAAGAATTCAGAGAACAAGATGATTGTGAACTATGTCTAGTCAAGCAGGAGTTGGCTCTTGAGCTTGAATTGAAGAGAATCTTTGGATTCTTATTAGGGGAGAGGGAAGGCCAAAAAGGTAAGAAGAGGGCCACGAGTGGGCAGAGACCCCACAGCCACTTAGCTACCTATGAATGAGGCTCAGTTCAGAATGGGTTTGATTTTTCTTTTAAGTTTTACATTTCTTACCCCCAAATTAACATTCTTTCCCCTGTTCCTATTACTCATCTGACCTTTCTCTGAGAGGTATCCCACTGTTTTCTTAAAAAGAAAGAAAATACGGAGAAGGGAAAACTTAAAGCGCTACCTTTCCAAAGGCAGAGTGGTCTGAACAGAGTCAGCATGTTTAGACATTTTTAGTTGCACATATTTTATTTTCAAGAAAACTAAAGAAGCCTTGAGGAAAGAAGTAGAGCCTTTAGAGTTGGACAGATAAGGATTCAAACCCTGATGGGACCACCGTTTGCTTTTTTGACCCAGGGCAAATTTAATATTCTTCCCATTACATTTAATATGGGAACAGTACTATCTACTCACGGGGTGGTTGTTTTCATTAAGTGAAGTCACATATATAAACTAAACGCGGTGCCTGGTCTATAGAATGACTGGATATATGGTGGTTAAAAAAAAATTAATTGAAACAAATAGTTGAAGTAATTCTGTATGATAAACTAAGATGAGCATCTAAAACTAGTTTGTTGTAAGGAATATAGTTTACTTTGTATACTTTGGCAATTTTCTCTGTTTAATTCTTTTAGTTCTCATTTTTCTACCCCTTCTTTCCTTTAGGAGACAAGGATGGCAGCAAGGTGACCACAGTGGTGGCAACTCCTGGGCAGGGTCCAGACAGGCCACAAGAAGTCAGTTATACAGACACTAAAGTGATTGGAAATGGGTCCTTTGGTGTGGTATATCAAGCCAAACTTTGTGATTCAGGAGAACTGGTTGCCATCAAGAAAGTATTACAGGACAAGAGATTTAAGGTAAGACCTTTGGTATTTCGTATATTTTGTTGCTATCAGTACATGTAAATAATAATTTTTTTTTCAGTCTTTTGCTTCAAATTTCATTTATTGTGCAAAATTTTTGTTCAGCTCAACCACTGTAATGATTTTATTTTATGTTGTGTATTTTGTAGAGAGAAAATTTACTGAAGATTGCAATATTATTTTTGGACCACTGCTATGAGTGATATATGTATTTAAAATATTGTGAAAGGTAGATTAAGATGTCTTAATTTAAACTTTTAAAAAGTGACCTCTCCCTGCTTTGGGTCTCATTGGTGTAGGAGACCAGAGAAACACTGCTGGTAGCATATGATCATTTGATATAGTTGACTATGCTTCCATTCTTGAAAAATTTCCTTTGAATCTGTGATGCAGCACTATCATTTTTCCCCCATAACTCTGACCTGTCTTTGCTATCTTCCTATGTCTCTCTTCTGCCTGCCCCTAGAAACCAGCAATCCCCACAGTTCCCTTTATTTTCATTTCTCGCACCATCTCTTTAGGGAATCCTACTCATGGATGTTCAGAGGTCATCTCTATGTTATGGTATAGTGGAGGGTCAGCTGACCTGGGCTCTAATCAAGACTCTGCTGTTAACAAGCAAGTCATGCAGCTCTATTCCCTGCTCTGCTCCTCCCACCTCTGCAACATTTACTGAGGGTCTCCCGTGTGCTAGAAACTATGCTGAACATTAAGGGATATAAAAATAAATAACAGGTGATCACTCTTCTGAAATAGCACACAGTCTAGTGTCTGTATGCTCTAGAATGTTTTGAATATTTTAAAGACGTTTTAAAAAAAAATTCTAAAGTTTTTGTCTTCGATTCTCACTCTCTTTCCCAAGTACTCGTCCCTTATTGCCGAATGCCCACTGGATCTTGATATCGCAATGTTGCACTGTTATCTCAAATTGTCAAGGCTTCTTATCTAACCCTGATTTAACTTTTAAGACCCAATGAACATCCTTTCTATTGGTTACCATTCCTTTTTGCCTTTGCCTTCTAATGGTTTTATCAATCACGTTGTCATTCAGTTTCTTCCATTCTCTCATACCTCATATCCAGTCATTATCAAACTTGGTTGTTTTTTTTTTTTTTCCCCCCTCACTGCCTTGTTGATCTATCCCTTCTTTCCTTTTCTCATCACTGCTATTCTAGTCAGGCCCTTGTCATTATTTGGCTTAACTGCTAGTAAGACACTACTTCTGATCTTCTCACTTTCAATCCCTTCTGCATACCAACACTAGAATAATCCCACAGTTCAGTTTGGTCATGTTGTTTCTCCTACACACAAATCTTCTATGGTTCCTTGTAGTGTAGAAAATAAAGCCTGGCCAGTTCAGTTGTGCATTCAGGAGCTTCCATAGTCTTGCCTTATCTCCAAATACTCAGCCTTCCAAACCTTCTATGTCACTATCCTTGAAATATTTTGATCTTTATAGCCTCTCTGCTTTCATTCAGCTTCCCTTCTATCACTCCCATTCTCTTGCTCTGTAAATCCTGTGCGTATGTAAAGACCCATATCAGATTCTTCCTTTATGAAATTTCTTAGATGATTCCACCAGCCATATGGATCTTGCTGTTCTAAGTTCCTTGAACACATATTATCCGTAAACTAGGAAATTCCAATTTTTTTCATGACAAGGACTCCATTTTTATTATATTTGTCTCCTGGATACCCACACATTCAGTGTTTTTTTGGATTAGTTGTTGATAGCAAATACTTATCAAATCCTTATTATATGCTCTGTGATCTACTAAGGTTTTTTTATATGAGTAGTTTTATTTGAGTCTTACCATTAGTACTGTGAATTTGGTACTGTTATTATTCAGATAAGGGAAGCTGTGCACAAAGAGATTATAAATTAACTTGTCGGGGGTCACACAGTTAGCAAGTGGGTAGATGGGCAAGTATTTGAATCCAAGCAATCTGACTCCAGAGTGCTTTATTACATTTTATCATTGTATCAAACCCATATATTCTGTTCAGAAGGTATTTGGGTTAGTTCTTGTTTTTCTTGCTTTTTTTTTTAATATTAATTTTTCCTTTTAGCATAGTAAGGTTATTCATTTGAGATGTTGTTTGGTTCATCGGTTTCTATCCCTTTTTAGAATTTTATTCCCATTTTTTTTGACTTTTAAAAAAATTATTTATATTTTCAGTCTGTGAAACACTAACATAGTTCCAAAAGTCAGAAGTGTGCACGTGTCATTCTCTTTCTATTCTTTCTGTCTTGTTTCCACTCACTCCCTGTAGATAGCCAATCTCATTATGTTCTGGTTTATTTCTCCTGGGTTTCTTTTGCACAAATGAGCAGTTATGTGTAATTTTCTTGTTTTTTTTTTTTTTTTACACTAAAGATAAAACATTGGAGATATTCTTTTTAAGAGAAAAAGATACTGCTTTTCGTCTTAACTATAGGTTCTAGAAGTTGTTGCATATCAGTTCAGAGATTTTTCACATCCTTCTTACAGCTGCATAGTATTGCAGAGTTGATTCAACCATTTTTCTATGTATAGATATTTAATTTCAATATTTTGTAATCTCCAAGAGTACTATTATGTATTTTTTTTTAGGTGTGTATCTTTAGGGTAAATTAAGAGAACTAGGACTGCTGAGTCAACAAAAACACATATATAGTTTTGTTTGGTACTGCTGAATTCTCCTCCATAAGAGTTGTGCCAGTTTGCATTCTCTCCAGTAATATATGAATGGCTATTTCCCCACAGCTTTGACAATGCACATTGCTTTACTTTTTCAATTTTTGCCAGTCTGGTGAGAAATGGTAGACTTCGTGTATTCTATTTTTTTGTCATGTAAAAAAGTCCACCCCACATGCAGTCAGATTTATTGTTCTTTTCTTTTACTATATCTGGATTTTGAGTTATAGTTAGGAAGTCTTTGCCTTATAAAGCCTTTTCTTATAGAACGCCTTTTCCTCAGGTTAAAGAGAAATTTATCCATATTTTATTCTAGTAGTTGTAAGATTTCAACAGTTTTTCCATCTAGATCCCTGATCCATTTGAAGTTCATTCCTTTGTGTGGAGTTTATTTCTATATATGGTATGAGTTACTGATCTAATTCTGTCTTTTCTAATCATTAACCCTTTGTCTCAGTACAGTTTATTAAAAGGTCTATTTTTGTTCCAGTGATTTGAGATGCTGTTGTTATTATATGCTGAATTTCCACATGTACTTGGTCTGTTTCTGGACTTTCCGTTCTGTTCCCATAGATTATTTGCATATTCCCCTGTCAATACCACACTGTTTTGATTATGGAGCTTTATAGTATGTTTTAATGTCTAGTAGGGCTAATCTGCCCTTGTAGCTTTTCTTTTTTGTTTTTTTCTAGCTTTTTGTGGATTTTTTTTCCATATGAACTTTGGTATCAATTTGATTAACTCCATAAAAAAGCTTGTTGATATTTTTAATTGGAATTTCATTAACTTTATAAATTAACTTAAGGAGAACTGTTTATAGATCAGTTTGTGATGTTGAATTATCTTATGCCAGAATAAGAGATATCTTTCCATTTGTTCAAGTTTACTTTTTTGTCTTTCAGGAATTTTACTTATACTGGCTTTTTGGCATTTGTTGTTAAGTTTATTCCTAAGTATTTTATTGCTATTTCATAGTTTTGTTTTTGTTTTTTTTTTCTCCTACAAGCTAAAAAGTGGCAGTCTGCCTTACACCATGCTCAGTTCTTTTCCACTGTATCACCTTTCCTTTGTAGAACTTAAGTGTTCTTTGTTCTCCTTGCTTAAGTGTTAACTGTTTCCAAAAAAATAAAACTTGATATATTGACCAGTTCATTTCTCTTGATTATCATAAAATAGTAGAAAATTTTCTGAGCACTTAAAATTCTGTAGTTTCACATCTGTGATTTATATACCTGCTGCCTAGGATTGCATTAAATAATTATGTGTTTCCAGAACAAGGTTGGAATAGGGTCTTCTCCTTGCCCAATTAAATAAACCAACCAGCTGAGCCTGCTAGTGTCAGTAAGAGGCAATTTGCTTTAGTGAAAAAACTAGAAGACAGAGAATGGTCAGAGATAAAAAGAAAACCAGGAGTATTTATCCTTGCATCAGTAGTCACGTAAACTACATTTAAGACAGTGAGCTTTTTAAAAGAATTTGTGGTATAACAAGCTTCATTTCAGCAGTGTTTGACCTTCAATTTGAATGCCTTTTTTCCTCTGTGACCCATCATACTGTGGTAAATTACTTAAACTAGAATTAAACTACCTCACTTGGCCGGTTTGGAGGCGCTTGTGATAGAAGATGCTACTGTGGTATAAAGTCCAGCTAGGTACCTTATGTAGGAGACCTTTGATATTAGAGCAAGGAGAAGATTAATCAATCCCCAAAGCTACTGATGGTTGTTGAGGCTGGCTTTTCCAATTTGAAAATCAGTAAGTTGCATTTTTAATTAATTCGTGATCTCAGCTTCATTAACTATTGATTTCAGTTCTCCTTTGAACTAAGTGATAGGTTTCAGGTCTCCTGCTTGGTTTCACTTGTTCTGTGGTTGGGATGTGGGGGTGGAGATGTGAAGTGTCACTGTGTTGTTCTCTTGTGAATGGAGAGGGAGTAGAGCCCTACTTTGGGTATATACTATTTTGGAGAATGAGGAGAGATAATGTCCTGGTTTCCATCCTTAGGGATATGATTATTCTCTGCATGATATTCTGGAAATAGCATACGACAAAGATGACCTTGGTCCACTATTAATAGTTTTGTAAGCTTGAGCATATTCATTAACTTTATAAGCCTCAGTTTCATCATCTGTAAAATGGGGATGCTACTACTACAGCAATGCGCCAGTCTAATGTTGGCACATAAAAGGACTCAATAAATATTATCGTGCTCCATTCTTTTTCTCCAGTGTTGTTTGAATCAAATGAAACAATGTATTAGGAGAACGTTTTTCTAAATTTTAAAACACCTTATAACTAAGTTCTATTGTTTTTATTT